TATAGTGTAGCTTTGGAGCCTGTCCTGGAACTAGCTCTTGTAGACCAGGCAGGCCTTGAACTCAGAGATTTGCCTCTGCCTCCTGAGTGCTGGGATTAAAGGCATGCACCACTGCCCAACTGTTTAGTCACTTCTTAGGGGTAAGTGTTGAATAAACAGGCTCAGATGACACCGTGACACGTGTCCCATAATGCCAATGCCAAGTCATGTCCACACACAGGAAAACTGGGGGCAGGGCAGACTTGGAGTGGGTTATACACAGCAGGAGAAAGGTGATTGATTGGTTAACCAGGCCAGATGGCAACTTGAGCCTCCAATCTGCTTGATGAAAGATGCTTGTGAAAAGTTGTCCTTTGACCTCTACATGTGCACCATGCATGTTTATCCCACTCCATACATGTAGTGATGAGAAAAAATGTAAGTGTTCAGGGGCTGGAGAAATGACTCAGCAGCAAAGAGCACTGGCTGCTCTTCAGAAGACTCAGGTTCAATTCCCAGCATCCACATGACAGCTCATAGCTCAATTACAGGGGAACCGAAACCTTCATTCAGACACATGAAGGCAACACTAAAGTGCCTAAAAGAATAAAATATTCAAAGATTGCAACCATCATAAATGGTTAGTATTGATAATGGATATGTCAGTTGCTTGACCTCATTTAATATGTATTCAGGTATTAAAAAACATAGGTGTACACCTTTTATCCCAGCACTTGGGAGGCAGAGGTCAGATTTCTGCAGATATCTTGAGTTTGAGGACAGCCTGGTCTACAGAACGAGTTCCAGAACAGGCACCAAAAAGCTGCAGAGAAACCCTGTCTCAAAAAGCCAACAATATGTGGAAATGAGAAATTTTAAGTTCCCATACTAACAGGCTGACCTTGAACTTCTGTCCTCCATACACCCTCAAGGGCTGGGACTGAGTTACCAGACCAGGTGTGTGAGGTGGCGACAGAAGCACACAGGGTCTTCAAACATTGCAGCCCTCCCTCCAGGATCAAGGGAACAAAGCTGGGGGTCTAGAGTGCTGCGTGCCCTGAAACTTAAAGGAAGGGAAATCCATCATTTTCTCGGGTTTAGAAAAGGAAGCCAGGACAGAATGAGGTCATTGGTGGGGAGGGAGATGAGAATTGTTTGGAAGCCCAGAGGCCACGGCTGTTGAGAGCTGCTTTATTGGAAGCTTGTGATAAATGCATGGCCCAGGTCCAGAGGAACAGCCACTTGAGAAATAAGCCCTGCCTGCTTGACTGACACATCAAAGAGGCCATTGTGAGGGAAAGGGCATCTTTAAAGAGGACGAACTAAAATTGAAGAGGACACCAAGGTGAGGAACCAAGGCCTCAAAGTGAACAAAGTTTCTGAAAGCTATAAATCAAATAGGACTTCATAATTCCAGAGCCCAGAAGCATCAACACACAGTTAATGTTTTAAAGGTTTTTATTTTTCTGGGTATGTGTGTACCTGTATGTAGCACCATTTGTGCAGTGCCTACAGAATCCAGATGTTAGATCCCCCAGAATTGAGCCACCTGATAGGATAGGGGTGCTGGGGACAAGACCAGATCTGCAAGTGTTCTTAACCATCGAGCCATCTTGCCACTGCCCCTCTCCTACCCAAAGGGAACAGGGTTTCATGTAGCCTAGGCTGGCCTCACACTTGCTGTTTAGCCAAGAATGGCCTTGAGTTCCTGGTCTGGCCTCTACCACCCAAGTGCTTTGGATTACAGAATTGTGCTGTTACCCAGTTTAAGTGTTTAGCCTGGAGCCTAGAGCTTCATGCATACTGGGCAAACACTGCCAAACAAGCTTCATTCCCAGCTCTCATTGTAGTTTTAACTTGTATTTTGCTGTTACTGATAATGTCCAGTGGTTTGTATCTACTGGTCACTGTAGAAGGAGCGGGCTGTGTTCCTGCCCAGCTCCTGCATGGCTAGCTTTACACGCGAAATAACAACACACAAACTGTATTCTTTTAAACACTACTTTGGCCCATTAGCTCTAGCCTCTTACTAGCTAATTCTCACATCTTGATTAACCCATTTCTAATAATCTGGGAAGGATCTTAACCTGCGTCCATCTTGGAGAGGAGAGCGTCTGTCTCAAGGCCTTCTTCCTCCCACAATTCTGTCTTCTCCACCCACCTATGTTCTGACCTATCAGGCCAAGCAGTTTATTAACCAATGAAAGCAACACATAGAAAGAAGACCCACCTACATCAGTCACTTGTATAGTTTCTTGTAAAATATCTAACTACTTTGTATGTGTGTGTGTGAGCACAGCCCTGGCTGTCCTGGAACTTGCTATGTAGAGCAGGTTGTCCTAGAACTCACAGAGATTTACTTGACTCTGCTTCCCCAGTGCTAGGATTAATGTAGTGCTGGGGATTGAACTGAGTTCTTTGCACTTGGTGGATAAATCTCCAGTCCTCTTGACCTATTTGTATTTCCTTTAGATTCATATTATTTTATGGGTGCTTTATCTGCTTATTTGTGCACCACGTATGTGCTTGGTACCTAAATAAGTCAGAAGAGAGCATGGGATCCCTTGAAATTGAAATTACAGACGGTTGTAAACCACATGTGGGTCCTGGCAATGCAACCTGGTCTTCTCTAAGAGCAAAGAACACCCCTAAACCCAAGCCACCTCTCCAGCCAGACCTTTTTATTTAATGTTATTCTATTGGTAGCAAACATATATGTATGTCTATGTGGAAGTGTCAGATACCCTGGAACTGGGGCCACAGACAGTTGTGAGCTACCATGTGGGCTGGGATTTGAACCCAGGTCCTATGGAAGAACAATTGGAGCTCTTAACCACTGAGCCATTTTTCCAGCCCCTTTATTTTTTAATTTTTATATTATCTTATTTAATTTTTTTTTTTTTTTTTTGTTTTTCGAGACAGGGTTTCTCTGGTTTTTGGAGCCTGTCCTGAAACTAGCTCTTGTAGACCAGGCTGGTCTCGAACTCACAGATCTGCCTGCCTCTGCCTCCCAAGTGCAGGATTAAAGGCGTGCACCACCACCACCCGGCTATTATTTTATTTTTGAGATAATAATCATACCATATATATATTATACCATATATGATACACACACACACACACACACACACACACACATACAATGTTCTGTCTGCATGTATACCTGCATGTCAGAAGAGGGCACCAGATCTCATTATAAATGTTTGTGAGCCACTATGTGGGTGCTAGGAATTGAACTCAGCACCTCTGGAAGAGCAGCCAGTGCTCTTAACCTCTAAGTCATCTCTCCAGGTCCCTAATCTATTTTCTTAAATATTTATTATGTATACAATGTTCTGTCTGTATGTATGCCTGCAGGCAGAAGAGGACACCAGACCCCATTACAGATAGTTGTGAGCCAATGCTCTTAATCTCTGAGCCATCTCTCCAGCCCCCCTTATTTATTTTTTTAAACAGACTACTTTTTTTTTCTTTTCTTTTTTTTTTTTTTGAGACAGGGTTTCTCTGTGGTTTTGGAGCCTGTCCTGGAACTAGCTAGCTCTTGTAGACCAGGCTGGTCTCGAACTCACAGAGATCTGCCTGCCTCTGCCTCCCGAGTGCTGGGATTAAAGGCGTGCGCCACCACCGCCCGGCCTAAACAGACTACTTTAAAAAAATATTTAGGTAGATCTCTGTGAGTTCGAGGCCAACCTGGTCTACAGAGCGAGTTCCAGGACAGCCATAGCTAGCTACACAGAGAAACCCTGTCTAAAAACAAAACAAAACAAAACAAAACAAAACAAAAGGTTACTATGAATGTGGACACATGCAGTAGAGGACGCGTGGAGTTGAAGACCAGTGGTTCTCACTGTGTGGGTCTACGGATCTAACTCAGGCTTCGTGGTGAGCGCCTTTATTGAAGAGATGCGTCTCTTGGGCCACTCCAGCCTATTAATGAGTACACTAAATACAAGCTGATTCAAGTAGGTAACAAGGGCCAGCCAGGTGGCGCAGTAAGGCTATTTGCAGCCAGGCCTGACCACTTGAGTTCAGTCTCTAGGTCCTACTTGGGAAAGAATTTACACAAGTTGTCCTCTGACCTTGACTCAAGCATCACGGCACACACAGACACAGACACAGACACACACACACACACACACACACACACACACACTACAGATAGTTTGGGATTTACTGATAAATCTTTTTTGTGTGCCCTGGAGTGCTGGAATTAAAGGCGTGTGCCACCACTGTCTGTCTATTATGGTAAATCTTGCTGTATTTTCTAAACGTTTAGTGCACAGTAATGGGGCTGGGTTTGGTGTAGGAAAACTGAACCTCACTTTCAAGTCCTCCGAGAGGGTCATCCCAACATATACTCACTGCCAGATTCATGATTTACGTACGTGTACACACACACACACACACACACACACACACACACAAACACACGGTTTCTCTTTTTCCTTCGGCTCTTCCTGTTTACCTTAGGAGGTTGCATTTGCTTTGCTTTTTCAGTGTTGCGGGTCGAACCCAGCCCTCAACCATGCCAGTCAAGTGGTCTGCCCTTAAGCTTCACCCCTGAACGCCTTTTGCCTTTTATTTATTTACTTATTTATTTGTACACATAAACGCCTGCAGGACGCACAGACGTTCTGAAGGCCACTGACGACTGCAAAGAGCAAGCAGAAGCCTCGCCCCACTCCCGATCCCCCTGCAGCCAGGATTGCCGGTCTGTGGCGAGGCAGAGCCACTCAGGTCGGCTGAGCGGCGCGACCTTGGGTCAGGCTGGGCAACTCACCCGCTGACCTTGAGGGGGAGGGGGTGGCTCCGCTTTCTGCCCAGCTACGCCGCGGACCGTGGGGTCTCGGGTGGTGCCCACGCGCCACGACTCGCCAGGCTTCCGCAGCCCTACGCCTCCGGCGTACGGGCCCCGCCAGCTCCGGCCGCTTTCGGGGCGGGCGCTACTCTACGCCTGGAGTGAGGGGCGGGCGAGATTCCCGAACGCCGCCTGAGCTGCGCACGCGCGACGGCGCCCGCGGGCCCGCGCGCCCTGACGCAGCCGACGCCGCGCGCCCAAAATGGCGGCGCGGTCGTCGTCGGGGGCGGCGGCGGTAGAGGGGGCGGTGGCGGTGGCGACGGCGGCCGTGAGTGCGGCGCGGGGCCTGGGCCGGGGGCAATGAGGCTGGCCCGCCGCGGAGCCGTGTAGCCGACACCCAGACCCTCCTCCCCGCCTCCGCCGAGCCGGGGGCGCGCGCGCGCGGCCGTCCGCCGCAGCCTTCCCCCTCCCTCCCTCTCTCCCGACTCCGAGGCCCCCGCACGGCTCCCCACCAGGGCCCGGAGGATGATGAAGCTCAAGTCGAACCAGACCCGCACCTACGACGGCGACGGCTACAAAAAGAGGGCCGCGTGCCTGTGCTTCCGCAGCGAGAGCGAGGAGGAGGTGAGGCGGGGGCGGGGGGGGGTCTGGGAGTGCGGGGCGCGGCCCGGAGGGCTCCGGACGCGGGGCTGAGGCAGGGGGATGGCACTCTGCGACGACCGCCGTTCCACCCCGCCGCCCCGGGCAGCCGCGTTGACCCGGGAAGAGCGGCTCCGCGCTTGGCAGCTCGGCACACGTGCACGAGGCGCAGGCCGGCCTTTGTGGCTGAGCCCAGGGCCGCCGGGGCGGGTTTGGGGCTGGCCGAGGAGCTGCGGCTGCCGGCGGCGGGCGGGAGGGGAGCCCTGGCGGGGACAGAAGATCCTGGGCGCCGTGCACCAGCCAGAGTCAGCCGTTTGAGGCCAACGTTGAGTTGGGAGGCCGGATGGTGGAGCCCGAAGAGAAAGGACACTGGATACAATTTTTTTTTTTGTGCATCGAAAAATTTCAAAGACATTAAATGCTGTATTTATTAAGATCTTTATTCTGACAATTCGGTTGTGCCCTATAGGATAACCTGTAAGATACGCTCGGAAAATAGAAAATTTTTAGAGTCTGTTTCTTTTTGCTTAAGGAACTTAAAAAAAAAATCTCGGTTTCACAAAGCCGTTTCTGTGGTGATGAAGGGAATGCCGAAAAGGCGCATGTTTTGTAAATCCACAAAGAATAGCTGCTTCGGGAATTCGTCCGATGCCTGTGGGAACACATTTCTGTCGTGTGCATGGTGGTAATGGCAGTTAGCTTGGAAACCATGAAGGACGGTGAAACTGAGCGTTTGACCCCGGCCGCCAGCGGTGGGCTGTGGTGGCCGGGCTGCAGTACAGCGTAGCGTGTTGAAATGGGGGAACCCAACTCGACCCGTTAGTTTTGAAAAGCCGTGATGAAACAGACGGCTGGATTGCCAGGAGTCCCTGTCCGGAGATGTTTAGGAGGAGGAGGGAATTTAAATGACGGCCCGAAGAAAAGCAGTGAAAGCGTTCATTGTACTGTTGAGGGATTGCTGGGGACGGCTTCAGCAGCAGAGTTCGGAAATGTATACTTTGTTACTTTGCGTTTATTACAAAGATCCTCGAGGGAGGCGTTGTCAGCGGGGTCCTGTCGTAAATGATGAGCGGGTTTTAGAATCCGTTCTTAAGTAAAGTAAAACCGTCATTCATGAGGAACTATTCAAGAGGCTTTGTTCTTTGTGTTATCACTTGGGAAGTCAGATGGGATCTGGGAGGGGGGCTGTCGACCGGAGGGACAGCTAATTAGCATAATAGCTTGCCGCACTACAGTGCTGTGGTTAAGCCTGTACCCCAGTTACAGTAGAAGGTTGTGTAATTTAGTCACATGAGTGCAGCAAGACTTTGTGTTTTAGAAAGATTGTCCTAGAGGTTGAAAATGTGAGTGTTTTGGATAAATACTGGAAACTTAAGATCCTAAGCAAAGGAACAACTGAGTTTTACTTTTTGGTTGAAAGTTTTATAATGGTCGACAGCAGCTTTGATGTGCATGCGTGTTTGTGTTTTGGCCACCCTTGGCCTTGTGCAGGTCAGACCAGGCGTAGGACCTGATTTGTAGGAGCTTAAAGTTTTAAACTGTTAAGAGAAGCTTTAAAGCATTTGCTTGATGGTGGAGTTTCCTTTATTGAATTTCTTTTTGCACGTTGGTTGGTTAATGAACAGAACAATCTTGTGAATCTTGAATTATTGATTCCGTGGGTGCCGTAGTCATAGTCTGGTAAGAACGTTAATGGGCACAGGCTGGCTAGAGACTTGTTCTGGTCAGTGAAACAGACAGGCTTTCAACGTAGAGCCCACTAAGGAGCAGCCCTCAGTTAGCGGTTATCTGTCTCTGCCCAGAGGGTTTCTGATAGTCTCTTAGTTCGGAGAAAGTAATCTCTAGGGTACTGTTTAACTCTCAGATTATATAATTGTGTTGGAAGGGAAGTGATTTGTTAGTTCCAGGGAAGCTTTTATGTTCTCAGTAGATGTGCCAGAGACTGGAAGTGTTAGCTGCCACCATTGTGGGGAAAGTGAAATTCACACTTAAGAGGGCATTCAGCCCAATTTTATTTTTTTATTGGAACTAATGGCTTTCATCAAGAGAATTGTTAACATTATTTTTGCACAGTGCAACAGTAATGTAAATGTAAACAGGACCTTGAGGGTTTTTTCCCCCTTTTTGTTTTTCGAGACAGAGTTTCTCCGTAGCTTTGTAGCCAGTCCTAGAACTTGCTCTGTAGATCAAGCTGGCCTCGAACTCACAGAGATCTGCCTGTCACTGCCTCTCAGAGTGCTGGGATTAATCCACTACCAACTACCCAATGATTTTTATATATTTATTTTTTTAAACACTGCCTTGATATTTTTTAAAAATTTATTTATTATATATACGGTATTCTGCTTGCATATATCCCTATAAGTCAGAAGAGGGAACCATATCTCATTATAGATGGTTGTGAGCCACCATGTGGTTGCTGGGAATCGAACTCAGGACCTCTGGAAGAACAGCCAGTGCTCTTAACCTCTGAGTCATCTCTCCAGCCCTCGGTAATTTTAAATGTAATTAGCCAATGTCAAAAAACATATATACGGTGTGAAGAAAGAGATTATAACATTAAGAAATAATTGACCAAAATCACTCAGCTCTGGGAAGCTGTAGTCACAGGCCCAGCAGTAAGAGCAGCAGAAAGTGATCCAGGTCAGAACCGGAGTGTGTGCAGTCATTGAGCACACACTGAAGGTGAGGTTGTCTATACAGTAATGGGAGAGATGGGTAGGAGAGAGCTTAGAGCTGGCGGGGGTGGGGGTGGTGGGGGGGTGCAGAAGGGATGGAGAATTAGAAAAACCTACCCAGTAGCATTGTGCTGGTGAGTTTTCTTCTAAACTTCTGGCTGTTTTTCTTGTTGATAAATTGAAATGAATAGGAAAAAGTCTCCTGCTTATGGATAACATTTCTGTAAACGGGTATTTAATATAGCTGACATTGTTATTGCGGTGCTGTACCCTGAATGATTACCGTACTCATAAGCTGGTTCCCAGCCCTGGGCTCCCTGAAGGTGAATTGTGTGCTTAGTCCGTGTTTGCTTAGGTTTGTCATTCTTGTCTTTGTGGAGGTTTTCAGGGTGAAACACCCATGAAGAAGGATCGCTCTGTGTGTGTGTGTGTGTGTGTGTGTGAGAGAGAGAGAGAGAGAGAGAGAGAGAGAGAGAGAGAGAGAGAGAGACTTTAGAAAGACCACAGATGCATGTCATGAAGGAAGTCACTGCTTAGTTAAGTGCACAGGCCCACTGGAGAGGGCTGAACAGCTACTGTAGGATTTTGCGCATAGATACCTTTTATTCCACTTAGGGGCGAAACCTGAGAGTAGGTCGGTCATTCATTATGTGGGTGGCATAGGAGACAACGTCAGCTGTAATTCAGTACTTCTTTTTGTTTGCTTTGGTTTGTGGTGCAGCGGAGCCCAGGCTGGCCTTGAACTCCTCATCTTCCCGCCTTCATTTAAGTGTTGGGAATACACACCCAGCTGAAACACTTAAGCTATTTCTTCTTCTGTTTTTTCCCCCTTCAGTGCTGAGGATTGAACTCAGCCCCTTGCAGGCTATGCAAGTGCTCTACCAGTAAGTCACATCCACAACCCACAGTTTTGTTTTTATCTTGAAATCTTGGCTCCACAAAGATTAGCAAATCAAATCAATATACTTTTATGTTTTTTTAATTGATTGGGTAATGCAGTTCATCTTTGTATATTTGACTTTGACTCTCTTAGAGCTGTCCCAGAGAGATTGCTCTTCTTCCTCTACTCCTCTTTTCTGGAACCTCCGTGGGGGACGGCTTGTTTGTGCTCTGTACCCTTAGTAGGAGGGCTGAGGAGTGTGGTCCTGGCTTCTCAAACAGTTGAAATCTCTCAGAATGAACAGTGATGGACACTGACCTCTGAGAAAGATCAGCCATGCAGAGTGCACACCAGGTAACGTTCCAGTGCCTGAGAGTCGGCTGCCATCACCGAAAGGTCTGCAGTAGCCCAGATTAGTGAGCCTTTTTATTTATTTCTTTTTGGTCTTTAAGACAGGGTTTCCCAATAGCTGTAGAACCAGTTCTGGAGCCTGGCAGTGATGGCCCACGCCTTTAATCCAATCCGTGCACTCAGGAGACAGAGGCAGGCGGACTCTGTGAGTTCAAGGCCAGCCTGGTCAAGAGTTAGTTCCAGAACAGGCTCCAAAGCTACAGAGAAACCCTGTTTCCAAAAGAAAAAAAAAAAAAAAAAACCAGTCCTGGAACTTGCTCTTGTAGACCAGGCTGGCCTCTAACTCATAGAGATCCACCTGCCTCTGTCTCCTGAGTGCTGGGATTAAAGGTGTGTGCCACAATTGCCTGTTTTTTGGGGCAGGCCAGTCTAGCTGGTCTCCACCCCTGTCTGACTATCTGGAGTGCTAGGATTGCAGACGGGTGCCATTATCTGACTTTTGTGAGTTGAGGGATGACTGGCAGCTCTTCCCAGCCCCGGCTGTTTCCTGAAAGACAGGGTACCACCTAATGGCTTTCTGTGGTGTGGTGTTAGGATTGCCTGTTGGTGTCCTCAGACCCTTGAGCTCCCCAAGGCTATGGGGAGTGGACTGACTCTGGAGATCTCAGTGGATAGAGACTCTGGTGGCCTGAGTGTTTGTCTCTGAAATCCCTCAGAGGGACGGGTAGAGGACGTCACTGCAGACCACACCTGCCAGCAAGCTCTAGAGAGGCTGGGAAGCACTGGTGCAGTCCCTGGGCGATAGCCTGACAGAGGCTTCAGCACATCTCAGCGTGGTGGGGAGTCCTGGCTCTGGGTGTCTCGGCTGTTGTCCAGCAGTACAGTCTTCTAAGGTAGAGTGGGGTATTTCTGCTCTTCATTTCTCTAAAGTAGTTATGGCGGCTTTTATCTATTTCCCCTCGATCCCAGGGTGTGGGCACCGTACAAGAATTTTTATTTATTTATTTATTTTCTCATGTTTCAAATATGTTGTGTAGGGAGGCTTCTAACTCACTTCGTACGCCTGGAAGGTCTTG